TGGTGGCCTATAGTCCCAGCTCCTCAGGAGCCTGAGGCAAGAGGATTGCTCAAGCTCGAGGGTTTGAGGTTGCTGTGAGCTATGATGCTATGGCACTCTACTCTGGGCAACAGAGTGAGACTCTGTCTAAAAACCCCCAAAATTATGAAGCTTGAGATGTAGTTGATTTTTTAATACAAATGGGATTACTCTGAGTTTATAACTGTAATTTTTTTTTGACTCAGAGTAAAAATTATTTTTGATTACAAAAGTATTAGAGCAAACTGTTTAAAATTTTTCTTTCCCTTGATCATGGCTATAAATCTGATCACTGACTTTTAGGTTGCTTCATTTGCCAAAAATTTCCAAAATGTTTTCCTGAAGTTTAGTATTGACATCTGTTATAGCTCTATACTTATTCCTTTAATGGCATTCTATGTTTCTTCCTCAGTGCATTTGCATAAAATTTAAATTACATTCTTTGGTGAAATGTGGGAGCCTAGAACGGTCTAGTCTTTTTTTGCATTACTTGAGTGAACTAGAAATAAATAACTTCCAGTTCCTTTTCCTTGCCGCTTTCTGAAGTCCTGGTAGGAGACTCATTTTCTTTCCTTTTCTGTCAGTCTAAAGCAGTAGCTTAAAGAATAAACAGCTTTATTCTTTAAGTACATCTGGCAACGTCTAGAGACATTCTTTGTTGTCACAACTGGGGTGTGCTGCTGTTATTTACTGGTAGAGACTAGAGCTGCTAAACAACTTATTATACAATGCACAGGAGAGCCCCCATACAAAGAATTAATTATCTGCTCCAGAATGTCACTTGTGTCAAAGATGAAAAGCTCTGGCCTAAACAAACCAGTTCTTCCTCCTACTGTAAATGTGAAGGCATTACAAAGTTACTTCAGCCTTAGTTACTATAAAAACCTATTTTCCCTAATCACATGTTTCCTCAAATATAAAAAATGTGGAACTGTAATACAAACTAACAACTGCAGACAAACCAGGTTCAACGTCTATTACCTAACCACCAAAGAATAGAAAAGCACTGAGAACTGGGAAATTATAGTTGTGCAGTTTGAATATTTATTTAGAGTAAGCAATATATACCGAATGCTTTGTGATACTCTGGAATCTAATTTTGTACTTTATACATATGTAATTACTAACTACAAAATATCTATAATAAGTATATTGAAACTAGAGCATGGATTAGGAATTTTTTATTTCTATATGCTTTTCACATGATGTTAAAATAACAACAAAAATTTAGATCAATGTTCTATGGTCACGATGGATTCCCTAAGAAAATTACATCTTTAATAATAATGCTTCACATTTTTATTATTTTACAGCATTTCTATTGACAAATCAGACCTTTGTTTCTTTTCTTTTTTTTATTCTCACTTTGTCAACCCTGGGTAGAGTGCCATGGTGTCACACAGCTCACAGCAATCTCCAGCTCCTGGGCTTAGGCCATTCTTCTGCCTCAGCCTCTTGAGTAGCTGGGACTATAGGTGCCCGCTACAAGGCCCGGCTATCTTTTGGTTGCAGTTTGGCTGGGGTGGGGTTTGAATCCGCCACCCTCGGTATATGGGGCCAACGCCCTACCTACTGAGCCACAGGTGCTGCCCCAGACCTTTGTTTCTTAAATAAGTACATTTATGAGTCATCTGTCCAAATACGCAAAATGGGCCTTTGGGAGAGAACACACACACTCATTATTTTCTTAACTGCCACCTGACTAGCTTGTTTGTAATATAAACATGTCATTCTATCATATTAGTTTTTATCTTCAATGACATATGAAAGATCCAAAATCAAATTGGCTGTTTCTACAGCCACCTGTAGGCCACCAAGCTTAGCAGTCAAACAGTCCACAGTCAGGGTGCTGCTGGAGCCCACAGCTTCACGTGGAAGGCAGGTTTGTGGTGCGAAAGGATGACGCGTGCTTCTTAGGAAAGACCAGCTGAGCTCTTCTTGGCTATTGTATAATCCACAGCCACACCGTGAAAGCAAATCTGACCAGTTCACAGCAGAGGGAGAATGTGCCTGAACTGACCAAAAGTGTCCATATTTCATGTCAGTGAGAATTTCGCCTCCGTCATGTTCTAAAGAGACAGCGAGAGATTCTAGAGCTCTGCAAAATGCTTCAGCAACTAGGTGAAGCTCCGTTTGAGTACATCCAGCATCATCTTTGAGAATACTTTCTGGCTCATTGCAAGTCTAAAGAGTTAAGTAATAAAAACATTGAAAACACATACAGAACAGTTAATGTAAAAATCTTTCAGAAAATTAAGAGACTTGGTTAAAACCTTATTCATAAAGTTACTACTTACTACAAGCTAATGGACTTGTATAGGTCAGCTGGCCAGGCTGCACCCCCTTAAACTGGCTGGTTGTAGTAAAAACTTGCACTCTATGATATTGGAATGAATGAATCACAACAACCCCATCATCAGCTTATTCTGAATAAGGCTTGGTGGCACCTTTTCAATATGCGAAGGACAGGTTTAATGCATTACAGGTTTTTACACACACAGAGGGAAGTTTCTGAGGACTACTGTCCCAAATGAGGTACATATTTATCTTAGAAAAATGTTCGATATGCTTAAAATGAGAATGCACATTTTGGGACATATATAATTTTCACATCAATGATTTAAAAATGGATACTCTTCTCTTTAATAATAGAAACGATAATACGACTTTAAACTGTTTTTTGGTTCTACTATTTTAAAAAGTTTATCCTAGAAGTTCCGTGATAGAAACTGAAATGAACACCTAGCCATGTGCCACATACTCATGTCAATGACAGACACTGCACATACAACGGTGGTCTTAATAAGGTGATAATACCATGTTTTTACGGACCTTTTCTTTTCTTTTTTTTTTTTTTTTTGAGATAGCATACCTCGGTAGAGTACCATGGTGTCACAGCTCACAGCAACCTCAAACTCTTGGGCTTAAGCAATTCTCTTGCCTCAGCCTCCCACGTAGCTAGGACTACAGATACCTGCCACAACTCCTGGCTATTTTTAGAGACAGGGTCTCACTCTTGCTCAGGCTGGTCTTGAACCTGTGCACTCAGGTAACTCACCCACCACAGCCTTCCAAGTGCTTGGATTACAGGCATGAGACACTGTGCCTGGCCCTTACTGACCTTTTCTATGTTTAAATATGTTTAGATACATGAATACTTACCATTGTGTTACAATTGCCAACAGTGATACGTAGTGCAGGTTTGTAGCCTCGGGACCATAGGCTATGCCACACAGCCTAGGTGTGTAGTAGGCTACACCTCCTAGGTTTGGCTAAGTACGCTCTGTGATATTTGCACAATGACAAAATCATCTAAAACGAATTTCTCAGAACATATCCCTGTCGAGTGGCATGTGACTGTATCAGCAAACTAATGATTGAATAATGGCTAAAAAAATTCATATCCTAACTACTTAAAAACAGTGACCACTTGTTTTTTAAAACCAGAAGGTTTGAACCAAATGAGATAATCTCTATTGCATATTTCCCCCCAAATCCTCAATGCTGTATTGTTTCTTCAAAATTCTATTCAAGACACTTCCTTCCTCCAAAATACTTTGTCCAGTTTATTCAATTCCATTTACAGATTATAATATTGTTCAGTTAGCATCAGTAGAAATCTATCTTCAAATAGAATTTAACTTATTTGGGGTGGCAGGGCAGGGCATGTCTATATAAAAGTTTACTCTCCAATCCTAGTCACCCACTGGGAGTCTCTGGATACCTCTCCTGTTTACTCAATGAGTCAGCTGCAAATGTAAGTGGAAGACACTTATATATACTTTTTCTGTATCTATCTTCAAATAAGGTAGACCAAGACTTGTAAAATAATTAGTCAGAAAAATAATGCACTATCCGACAATCATCTGGAAGTGTAGTTTTCTAGACTAATAAAAAATTCTCTTTAATAGATTTAATATCATACACAAATATTTATTTAAAAATTATAACAGAATCCGATACATGGAATGCTTTAATAAATGAAACTCCTGGCTCAGCGCCTGTGGCTCAAGTGGCTAAGGCGCCAGCCACATATACCTAAGGTGGCAGGTTCAAATCCAGCCCGGCCCTGCTAAACAATGACGGCTGCGATAAAAAAATAGCCGGGTGTTATGGCGGGCGCCTGTGGTCCCAGCTACTTGGGAGGCAGAGGCAGGAGACTCGCTTGAGCCCAGGAGTTGGAGGTTGCTCTGAGCTGTGATGCCATGGCACTCTACCCAGCGGGATAGCTTGAGGCTCTGTCTCAAAAAAAAAAAATAAAAAAATAAAAAAATAAAAAAATAAATGAAACTCCTTTTTTCTTGATGTTCTGAAAGGCACTGAAGTATTCTGTAGACCCCTGGCCCTTTCACTGTGAACATCAATTACTATTGTACTGTAGCAGTTGAGATCTCAAATGTGAGAACTCCCAGTGACAGGATTTGAGTTTCAACATGCAGTACATGTAGACAATTCTCAGAGAATGTGACCCTTAGTAAAAGATCACATTTATAATAATCATTGCAATAAAGGTATTACCTCATATTTACCTTGTTACTTTCCTCAAGTGTTTTAGAACTCTTAGACGTTGAAAAATTGTGTTAAAGGCTCTAGGATATTCTGGTTGCACTTATCTCATAAAGTTGCTGAGAGGGCGGCACCTATGGCTAAGTGGGTAGGGCACTGGCCCCATATACCAAGGCTGGAGGGTTCAAGCCCGGCTCCCGCCAAACTGCAACAAAAAATAGCCGGGCATTGTGGCGGGCACCTGTAATCCCAGCTACTCGGGAGGCTGAGGCAAGGGAATTGCCTAAACCCAGGAGTTGGAGGTTGCTGTGAGCTGTGAGACCACAGCACTCACTGAGGGCAATAAAGTGAGACTCTATCTCTAAAAATAAAATAAAATAAAAAAATAAACATTGCTGAGAATTTAGATAATATGAAGGGGCTGTCGTACTTACCTTGTGTCTAATATATGCAGCCAAATGAGTTTCGGTACAGCCGCCTCCCAGTAACACCCAGGGTTCCTTGACCGTCAGCTGCAGGACATGCAGAGCTGTCTGACATGTGAGCTAAAAAGGAAACACATCATCAGCATCAGACACTCAGACATTCAGGTCATATATGGGGAAACACAAGGACGATCTCAAAGCCACACAACGCACTCAAAGAGCCTGATTTTAATTGTGAAAGAAAAATACCTGTGTCATGAGGGTTATAATATGATTAATACATTTGGAATAATAAAGAATAGAGATAAAAGAAAAATATGTTAGCCAGAAGTCTGTTTTCATGGAGCCAGATTAATGTTTTCTTTCATACATACTTACCTTTTCAAAGTGAGATTTAAAAATACATGGTTGCAAGATATGTGGGTCAGCAAGGTTTATTGGTATTTTTACTAAAGAAACCATTTCAGTCTAAATAGTTGTATAAATACAAAATCTATTGCAAATTGTTTTGGAAATAACACAGCTACAACCTACCAATAGTAAGTAGAAAAACATATAGACCTTTAATATTCACCAAGCCTAGAGTCTTCAGAACTTGTGACCTATCCCACAGATTATCTCTTCCCCTATGCAAAGGCTGCATGTCTTATTGGTGGCACAGAGTGACAGACACCACTAAGGGCGGATGATGGGTATTGACTGGGTGGCTCATTTTCGAAGTGAATTATTCATACACATTAGCATTAAAGAGCACATGGTTCCAACTTATTTCTTAAGAAAATTAGTCACCTATCAAGTATGTTTTAGCTTTCCTGTAAGTGGTAGAAATAATAAATATCAACGCATGCCAAGTCCACTATAATGTCACAAGCATTTAAATAAGCTTTCTGTGACGTTCCTCTCATCTTGCTCTTGCTTTCTATACCACCCAGTGAAGCTACAAGGGAACCAAAAGCACGGCTCACTAATGTGAAAACAAAATAATAGTACTTGTTGAGTGACCATGTAATTCCTGCCTCAGCCCCTGTATGTGGAACTCAAAATTCCTTACTTACCTTCAGCTCATCCCAGGCAGTATCATTTCTGTTGCAGAGAAGCAAACTGCAGATTGTTCCTTCATTAGGAATAAGATGAAAAAAATGTTTGGAGCCAAATTTTGCAGTACGCAGATTTTTCACGCTTCCATAACTACTAGTTGATATTGAGCCTAGAGAACCAATAGGCTGCGTTCCTATTTTTTGAAGTATAGAAAACACAAAATGTATAAACAAAGGTGCAAAACAACCATTTAAAATTATTGTGTTTATTCTTAGCCAATATAAGAGTCTTACAAGCATATCATTTAAAATATGAGAAGCAGGATAAAGAAATAAGATGTATTTTCTTAAACTAATGAAATAAATAGCATTCTGTTACTAAACTGACATACAAAAAAGGCAGAGGTTCTTTTGATTTCAGAGGTTTTCAAACATCTCTTAGAAGCCATTTTGTACTCTCTTCCCACAAAAAGGCACAGGTAATTTTGCATACAGTTTCAGGAAGCTCAGAAACCTTGGGAAGCCATCTAGGGATCAAAGACCCAAATAAATAACCCAATTTGGAAGAGGATGATGTGAGGAAACACAGTATTATTTTTAAGGCATTATCTTCAATTTGAAACAAATAAAGCTATCCAAATAGTTGCACGACTGAATTCCTTTGAGGCTCTATTTAGTAAACATGTAATGATTATTATTATTTTTTGCCTAGTGACAGTTTGTATGTAAATAGCCACCTAAATTATGCCAAAATAAAGTATATGACATACTTATTTTACTTATTCTTTGATATATCATCTTCCCATCTGCATGGGTAAAATGGCAAAAGTTTTATAAATTACAAATTAATAAAAATATGAATAAATAAGTTAGGGATGACATCAATTTTCCAAATCTCTCAATGCAGAAGTCATATGAGAAACCTACCCCAGTCTTCTACAAGGAATAATAATGCTGATTTAAAGTCTAAAGATTAAAATAACTCTGAACTACTCATCCCTTTGGGCCAATTCCCTTTTCTTTCAAATTAACATTTAAAAGACATTTTCCTTTCAAACTAACATGTTAAAAAAGGTTAAAAACACTTTCAGTTTAGGGCAGCCCAGAGGCTCACACCTGTAATCCTAGCACTTTGGGAGGCTGAGGTGGGAGGATCCCTTGTGCTCAGGAGTTCCAGACCAACCTGACCAAGGGCAAGACTCCATTTTTACTAAAAATAGAAAAAATTAGCTGGGTGTTGTGTGCGTGTGTGTGTGGGTACCTGTAATCGCAGCTTCTTAGGAGGGTGAGGCAATAGGATGAACTCAGGAGTTTGAGGTTGCCGTGAGCTAGGCTGATGCCAGGGCACTCTAGCCTGGGGCAACAGAATTAGACTCTCTTAAAAACACTTTCAGCTCAAAAAACATTTACAAAATAATCACTGAACAATTTGAATATTGTTCCTTCACTTCTGAAGCCTCTAAGAATAAGGACTAAGAGTGATTTAAATAGGCCTGAATATTAATAGTGTAATTTTACATGGTGGAAACAACAGGTTCTGAAAAAGCCCAAGTACATGGCTTTATAGCCACTGGATGCTAAGCAAGTCACTCATGTTATTTAAATTTTTTGGCTCCCTCACAAGAGAGTAATACAGGAATACTAATGTGTATTTTACAAATAAATCGAGCCAAAAGAAATGTTAAAAATGCTCTGTAAGCCCCACCATGCTTCATGAATCCCAGTCTCCTACCAATAGTAACATCCGCTACTTAACATAGATCATCAATAAATAGGAATTTTTGTTCAAAGGATTGAAAGGAGGTAATGTTAACCTAGATACACCAGGGAAGACAAATTAGGCCCCGAAATACTCCACCTACTCTAAATGTGTCCCTGAGCCATGCGCCTGGTACAGTCCTGCCTCCCTTTTCCCTTTTGTCTCAATATGCGAGACTAAAGCTATGGTTATTCATGTCATGTTCTAGGTATGTATGTGTCAGTAACAATTTGGGGCTTATGTGAAAACTCAGTCCCCATTTATAATACTGCTTTTGTGGGAAATCTTCCTGTTGTTGCTGTTGTTAAAGAGATAGTCCCAATGTTGCTGACGCTGACTTGAACTTCCTGGGCTCAAGGGATCCTCCTGTCTCACCCTCTCAGGTAGCTAGGACTATGGGTGCACACCACTGTGCCTAGCTAAGATGTTCTGTATTTCAGAAACTGACTAAATAATCTGAAATACCCAATATTCACATGCTGGACACTGCCAGATTCATGAAATGCTAGTAAATATTTAAGGATACATGCTGGACCTACAAGATCAATGATGAGTTCCAAAGAATAATTCCCATTATTTAGTAATTTCTACTTTGACCATCACTGTGCAGGTGGAGCAATAACCCAGATATTATGTACTCAACACTTGGCATACATACTGCTCCTTTTTGATGATTTTAATAAGACTATAAATGGTAAACTTTAACAATGGTTTCAGTCTAATAACTTAAAAAACTGCAATGATGCAGAAATAAACGATCATCATCTTTCTGATACTGTCAAAGCAATTAAGGAACACTGAAAAGTGGCTCAAAACAGCAGCTTGTCACTTTTCTTTGGCTCTAACAGGTGCCTCTAATTTGCTGAGTTTGAGAAATACAGTGAATGTCCTGCCTATTATAATTCTGTACATTGCTGAACACATTATAGCAAATTCAACAAACATTTTAGAATCCCTACTGTGGGCCAGGACTCTTACAGAGCTGAAAGTAAAACATGATCTTGGTTCTCAAGGTCAACTGGAAATAATTTTTAACAAAGGTAAAACACGGGCACACACATGTCCCGTCCTCCCAGTTTGAAACAACTATGTAGGCAGAAGTATAGAACTTGTAGGGAATTAGGATAAAAGCAACACAAAGGGGTATTCTAGCAGTGAAATTGCATGCTAAATACAACATGATTTAAAATTTTTACAAAGTAGAATTTTATGTGAAGTATGAAAGACTTCAGGATTATGTGAATGTTAGACTTATCGATATTCTAACATGGGGGTTAGAATACGATAAACTCTGTGGTATATTTTAGGGCTGAAAAACAAACAGAAAATGATCATAATCACTCCATTTTTATAAGTGAACAATACAGAATCTTTTCCAGAAACCTTTGCTGCCAGAAATGATACTGAAACATGCTGTGAGGTTGGCAGCATCTAAAAATTTCCAAGATGTTAACTGTGACACAAACTAAAAATATCTCTGCTCCAAATGCGTGTGATTTATTAACTGTAAGGGGCAAAAGCCAAGAGTGATTTTTACCTGTCACTTTACTCAAGGGCTCCATCAGGGTCACTCCAATTCTGTCTATGGCAATAACTTGGTGCGCACTGAGCAACTGTTTCAAAGATGGGTGCATGACTTTTTGGCACAGGACAAGATCTACGTGGTCACTGACTAGCTGCCTTCCTAGGTTGAGCAGCTGGTCCAGAACTGCACTTTCAAGAGAAACCCCACAAGGAACCACCACGGTTCCTTTTCCAGTGTCAGAAAGGTCTCCAGATAAAGTTGTACAGAAGAGTGCCACCTTGAGGGCCCCTGATTTTTTGATAGGTAACAGCTTCATCAATTGAACTTCTGGCATTTCAATGAGTATTCCAGGTAACACAGTAGAATCTGTAACTCTTTGACCTTTTAGAGGTACGATTATACTCTTTCCTAAAATGATATGGCCTTCAGCATTTTCTGGAATTGTAAGCAAGAAAGTTCTGAGGATCAGAGCGCTGATATGATCTACCTCCTCTTTGGTGAGCATACTGGCGGGTTTACTGGTCAGCACGCTGCGCACCAAGCAAAGGGGGATCCGAGCACTGTGGAAGTCAACGGGGATTCGGCAGCCACAGGCCTCAGAGTTCAGATAATTGGTGCAGAGACGCAAAAGATGTTTGTTTAATTTAATGACAGTGGTGGGTGTCAAGACTATTTTCTGAACATTTTCAATCAGGTTGCAGCAGAGAATGGCTGTGAATAAGCCACAGTCACTGAAGCATGACACATGATTCTGCACGGAAGTCACAAGGATCTTTATTATGGGATGGGTGACTGAAAGGTTACGAAGCAGGGCTGCAGACTGCGAGGTCGTGCACACGTAACCCCCAAGGCCGTTGTGCAGCTGCTTCAGCCTGCCTGAAGGGCCATAGCATGATGACACGATTCCTCTCCACACAGAAAGTGTGGCCCTGACTCCCTCACTTGTCAGGGGCTCACTGTTACACAATGATGGCTTCTTAGCTTCTAAACGAGACATTTCAAGTGTTAGCTTGCAAAGGCAGCTTTTATTTTGTGGACCATTATTTTTCTTTTCATTGCTTGTCATGTGTTTTAATATCTAAAAAAATATTCTTCAGGAATGAAAGTATGAAAATGCAACAATGAGGCTACAAAATTAAATATTTTGATGTTTATAAAGCTAATCAGAATATAATGACTTAATGACAAATTAGTAATTCCAAATATTTATTTTACTTCATTCTTCAATAATCTTTTGTTTGCTTCCAGACTGAGACTTTACAGACTGCTTTGCAGCCCTCTGTATAAAGTACGTTCCAAGATGGACGCCTATGAAAGACACCCCAGCTACAAGAAGCCAGTTCTTTCTAATCCAACTGATGTTCTTCATTTTCTTCTTTTAATATCAAGTTCAGATTCAAAGCTGCTTCTTTCTATAAGAAATGAAAGTAAAACATTTTAGAGAAAAAATCCAAGCCATTTTGTAGATGGCAATTTAATAATTTATTCTAATATTCTGCTCCATTTTTTTAGAAAAAAAGAACTACCTATTGGCGTAAGCCTGTAGAAAATAAGAAAGGTTAACTGATTCAGACTTAAAATTCCTTTATCTTTCATTAAATCTCCTCTACAAGAAAGGTTGCTTATATTTTCAATGATTTGGAATACACTACAATATGGCTAAAAAGCTTATAGTACACTTATTTGAATATAGCACGCTTCTAGAAGGGAAATGCTACATTATACAACTCAGAATTTGGTAGTGGTCTTAAAAAAAAGTCTCAAATGTTTTTATTCTCTTATATCAAGATTTAATGTTGTGTTTTTATCTATAACTTTGGTTTGCTTGGAAACTTTAGGTTTGAACAGAAGTACATTTACATCAAATCCTGCTTATAAATAATTATGAAAACGAGATAGCTGTTAGCATTTCTACTGCAGAAACTCACTAATGTACAGTCTATATTTAGCTGAATAAATTTACACAACACACTGTACCAAAGAACAAACCATGTTGTAGAAACTTGGCTAAAGTCAGAGCTAATTTTTATAGTTTTACTCCACCAATCAATGTTTTTCAATATTGGAAGTCCTAACCAACTAATCCTCAAATATAAGTTTGTAATAATAAATATTAAAACCAAGGAGCATGCTGGATGACAAAGAGAAAAACAGAATGAACAGAATGTGATTTGAAAGTCAATTTCAAAAAGTCTTAATATATTATCATATATCCAATGGACACCGAGAAATACTAATTTCCCTAAAAGGACAGTGTCCCTGTTAAAAAAAATTGTCCCTTAAGGCATAAAATCTGATACATTAATAATAAGCCATGAAAATAAAAAAAAAAAGTCTTAGGTTGTGGATCTTATTTGCTCAGGCATAGCCTTTTGAATGTGTAAGTATTAGTATTTTCAGGAATACACAAACTATGCTAGGCACTTGGAGAGTATTTAGCATAAATATAACTACTTAGCCTAAAGTACTTCTTAAAGTAGACCATGGTGTAGTATGGTGATACAGACCAAACCGCGATTTGTAGATGTGCAAAGAGGTGGGCAGAACAAGAGAATGTTATGCAAAGTGTTATTTTGGTTACTGTTCCCAATTTAGTTAAAGGGCTGTAACCATAGCAACTGGGCCCCAATAAAGTGAAGGCAATGGTAGTCAGCTTTCTTCCTGTGATGATAAAGCTACAGTCAACTTTTTTTATAGCACGAGGAAGAAAAGAAAAATCTGTTTATCTTATGCCAGAAACAGCCAAGTTCCTTAAGTATTATTTTGATGGCTATCTCAGATTTAGCAAAATCTGAGAAATACATTTAAATGAAACTTTATCCAAGTGACTTTTATATGGTAATTTACATGTTATAATTTACACACACACCCACAATAGAAACTATGACTAATAAAATGATTTCTCCAGTTAGAAAATTTTTTCAATACTTAATGGCGACACACAACTTTTCAAAAGACACAATGTTGGCACTTCTACCAGTCTTGTGGTGGTGAGACCAGTCACCACATCTTTTGGCTCGATCTATAAAATGAGAAAGAAAGAAATCATTGAAAGTGTCCCAAATGATTCTTG